GTTAAACGTAATTATTAATCCTTAATTTCTCAGCGATTGATACAATTGTTAAGGGACAGTTAAACTATTTTTTAAAAAATATAGATCCTCGATTTTCATTTATAATTTATTAATTAAAATAAGATTTTTAAAAAAAAATTAAAACAGGTCTTTGTACTATATTATTAAAAAAAACAACTAATGAATATAATAAATAATTTTGACTATTTCTCATTCTAAACCTATCGAATATCTTTTTTTAAATGCAAGGTAATCTTTTATAGAACCTACATGATTAACTTTTCTTCTAATAATTAAAAAAACTCAAAATAAAAACTATTATTCCTACAAATATTAGAGTAGTCTCCCTTGACAGTTTCTATTCGAATGTATTTTGTGTTAATTTTCGTTATGAAATACAGTTGACTTTTTAAATAAATTATATAAGAAAACAATCTATCTCTGTGTATATTTATTTAAAAAAAATATTATTACAATAATTAGAATAGGTGTTACTGGTTAAATAGCAATTATTCTCATTCTAAATCTTTGGCTATCGAGTTTCATGGGTTTTTAAATTTAAGATTATGAACACATTGGCTTGACGAAAATGATTATATACACTTAAATACATACTAAAATTTACTTTTGTTAATAAACCTACACTATTTTATGCACACATACAAAAAAGAATATTTTAGCGGCAGTTACAACGTCAAAAAAAAGGAAACTCCTTTATACTGAATAGTTCTACGTAACAACAAAAATGTAAAAATACATAGTCCTAGAGCACACTCACACACATATATATACACATACGAAGATATGTGTGTGTGTAAGTAGGATGTGAGGTGTGTAGACAGGCGGGGTGGAAGGAAAGCAGTTTGGCAGGAATAACGGTAGGTAGGAAAGTAGGTAGGCAGGCAGCAGCGCGGGCAGGTTAGTAGATAGGTAGGTACGTAGGCAGGGAGTTAGGTATGTAGGTAGGTGGGCCTAGGTAGGAAGGCGCCTCACTCGGTATAGTGAGCGATTATAGTAGCCCATCATATTCATAGCGTTTCGCAATTATTAAAACGAACAAAGGTACCATAGTACTCACGGGAAAACCCGGGGAGCTAAATGGAACCCTGCCAGGGCGCCACCAAATCGAATTTTTTTTCGTAGAAACCACCACAGGGGTATTAGCATTAACTTCTCAAATTTGAATGACAAACGAATGAAATCTTTGATAATGCTTAAACAAACAAACCCACATATTCGTTTTTGGGGCGCGGGTTTGTCCACACTGCCTCCTAGACGCACCAAGGCTCACTGTATGAAAGCATTGAGTGTACGTTAATCAACCTCTGTAATAGTGAGGTAGAAAACACATTGGCGACCGCCCGTGTGTTAGAGACGCGTCCCTTGGCGCTCCAGGGAGCCACTGGTTATATTTCCGCAGGGGCGCCCCTAATTCGGTTTAATTATAAAATGTCGTGTGCCACCGTGTCCCTATTGTAGGGTGCTCTTTAAGGAGGCACTCTCTGTAGAGCCCGGGGCGCTCGCTGTCGCCAACTGCCAGGGCGCCGGCGGGCGCTCATTATTCTACTTAGTGAACATTTATAGTAGCCCATCTAAACCGTAGTGTCGCCCGAGATGGGTCTTGGCTGCTCTGGGCCACTCAACCACCGGGGAGCTGGCGGATGAACCTGGTGTAGTTTTATCACTGAATCTCAGAGGCGTAGCACCATTCCTGGCGCCTGGGGACAAATTTTCAATTTGGCGCCCCCCCCCCACTCCCGCCGGAGACAAACTTTCAATTTGGTGCCCCATCCCCGTATTTTTTAAATATTTATAATGCAAAACTATAGCTAAAATTAGCTTTTAAATTTTTCCAACCATTTTGGCGCCCCTAGGGTTGGCGCCCGGGGACATATATACCCCCCGCCCCCCTCGCTGCGCCTCTGCTGAATCTAGTATTACCTATGACTGCAATTGATGAGATAGCCCCTCTGGATTCCCCTCTGGATTCTGAGCTCATAATCGTATAATTAGAAAAAATCGAACCCTCCCAGGGTGCCACACTTAAGAATTTTTTTCTTTCTCGAAACCCTTTTCACCAACTACCCAAAATTTTATGACTCTCGTACGAACAGTGTCAAATTGCATCTGGCTTTTATTTTTATGGAGAAAAATTGCATTGCTTCCTGTCAGAGACCCCAGATCGAATGGGGCGCCAAAAGGGGTAGACAATTTTTTAAAAAATCCTCATTCTTCAGTAAAATTTAAGAAAACAGATTTATACATGGCTGATATCCTCAATTATTTTATATAGGGGAGTGTATGTAGGGATGGGCGCCTTTTTTCCAGCGTTTGAATAGGGTTGGCACATAATTGATAGTTCGCCCCGGCTGCCGGAATAGGTTGCTACGCTTCTGCTTCCTGCTAGGGTGCCGCCCTGGCGAAATCTTTCCGGGGGGGGGGGGGGGGGCGTGCGGACACTGTTAAAAGTATTTTTTTCTATATAAATTCCGTTTCGTTCGGGGGTGGGGGGGTCGATAGACTTTCTTCGGGGGGTGGGGGGCTCTGCTTCCCCCCCCCCCCCCCCCCTCCGAATAGATTCCTGGAAAAAACTCTGTTCACAAAGTTTTATGGCGATCCGATGAAAAAGATGTAGTAATTCATATAGGACAAACAGATAAACATACTTTCATTTCTATAAATATAAATAGATATATAGGGCCTACTTTAACTAGTGTCAGCATACCCGCACCCGGAAACTTAGTCACAATTTTCTTTGTTACATTTGAACCCTTTAGGTTAATCAATATTAACAAAATTGAACAAGATGCAACAAATACAGTTAACCAAGAAATTGAATAAATAAAATTCACGTTATCTTTTTATTGTTTTTAGATATAGAGTAGTAACAGACTACCTACAGGTCCTAACTCGCGACGAGGTACACATTTGTATTAAAACACACATCTAAGACATTTTCCATTTAGGTGGGTTTTGCAGTGCAGTGGTTTCTTAAGTCGTGGACAAGTGATTGCGCTTATCTCTGTTGAGTAGCTATGTATTCTGTCCTATATTAGACACATTGGTAAATATCTGTCACAATATGGGCATAGAGATGATATAACGATAGCTTATCTTTGCGGACAACGCTAAACTTTGGCATCGACACCACGGCCTACAAGTTCAAATTCGGTCCTTCAGAAATGTTTGAAGTCTCTAGATTAAAACTACTTTTCTCTTTTATGTACCTACTGACCACATCACATGCATTGGTTCTGAAAGTCTAAAAACAGAGGCACAAATATATCGTCTAGACTTGTGAGGTCTACAGATTAGGTATTTTGGCAGTTATCTAAGCCCTTGCCTGTTCTGACTCAAAGCCTTATTCTTTCTCTATCGACGCCTTGCGTAACATGGGATTGGGTTTTTAAGGCGGCATAAAGCTTTATGTTGTTCCTTTTTGAGTACACTAGATTAAAAACTAACGTTTTCAGATGCCTAAAGATGTTTAACCACTAATTAATCAGAATAATGGGTCAAGATTTCAATTCTTGGTTTTGGGACACGTTAGTTGCCGGGGTTGAGCTAATGTCGATAGCATAAGGACTGTACCTTGATGCGGGCGTTTCATTTGTTGCCCATCGTAATAATTGAATGGTTGATGGGGCTTCTTCAAGGGTTTGATTTGCCGTAATGTTAATGATATCATGCATGTGCGGCTTTTCTAAGAAGAAAATGCGTTTAAACACTTTTTAGTTATGCTTTTTTTTAAATAGGCCTATATTTTACGACATCATAATCGTAATGAACAATAAAATGAATTTAAACAACTTTAGAATACACCTGTTTCGGCTAACATGAATGTTATTCTTCAAACTAGTAATGTTAAACGTGTCTTTTTCGCATTTTCGACTTATAAGCAATACAGTAAATTCCGATAACGTCCATATGCATACAAGCAATGGCGTAGGCGAGGAGGGGTTTAATAGTGATTTAATAATGATACTTTCTTAACCCTCTACTGGATATCATGTTTGGTACCTTGCCCCCGGCAACTGGGTGGATTTGGATTACACCCAAGTTTTACTTCATAGTAAATGGCTTCAGTTTTAATTATTGGAGTTGGTAGCAACATTGACACAGTTGAAGGTATTCAGAACAAGGTGGCCAGGAGAAATCACATTAATTAGTATATAATTTACCATTACTAACAATAGGCCCTACTTAATTGTTTAATGTTGCTGGATATTAAGCCTGGTAGGTATTTATGTTTATTAATTTGTACAGAAACAAAAAAAGGATTCCCAAACAAAGTTTTATTTTTCAGAAATAAAGAAAATGATACAAATCAATAAAGAACAGTTTTCAAAAGAATTTGTATAAAAGTAATTATTATAAAATAAGAATATAGCATTGCATAGATAAAAATAAAATACTTGACACAAACAATATGAGGAATATTTTTTATCAGAGAAGAGAAAAATATATGATGTAGTTTGGAAATAATAATGTACAGAATGTAGCTTTTGCAGATTAAAATGAAAATTCTCATGCCTATATAATTTATTGAGTAAATGAAGCAAGACCCAAAACAATAGGCTAAATAATATGCATGGGACAGGCATTGAAAACTACAAATTGCATATAGTGAAGGTTACCCTATTTATTGGCTATATCCACAGTAAAGATGTATGGCTTTATTACCTGCTTGTAAAATTGTTAAGGAAAAAGTAAAGTATTGTTAACTTTTTATGGCAGACCAACTACGGGCTGTGTTCTGGGAACATGTCATCTGTAAGGGGCATTGTTCTCGGCACATGTTGTCATTTTTTGTGTTCTCGGCACATGTTGCCATTTTATGTGTTCTGGGAACATGTTGCCATTTTGTGTGTTCTGGGCACATAATGACATTTTGTGTGTTCTGGGAACATGTTGCCATTGTGTGTGTTCTGGGCACATAATGACATTTTGTGTGTTCTGGGAACATGTTGACATTATGTGGCTGTGTTCTGGGAACATGTTGACATTATGTGGCTATGTTCTGGGAACATGTTGACATTATGTGGCTGTGTTCTGGGAACATGTTGACATTATGTGGCTGTGTTCTGGGAACATGTTTGTTTCATTTTAAATATTATAATAAAACATTTTTAGAAATTCTATATTAGGAATTGTGTATATATATAAATGTATATATTTAATAAGACAATTGGATGAATTATAATAAACAGCAAAAATGATTCAAATAAGTTTAGAAGTATTTGGCTTGCTGTCCTAACAGTGAACTGTATTGCGAGCTTGTTTCCCTAGTGATAACCCATGTTTTTTGTGCGACCCTTCCAATCAAGTATCCAGCTTTTTCTTGGCCTGTATCAAAATGCTGGTCAGACTTGCTTGACTTGTGTATCACAATATGATTTTGAATGTTTTTCTGTAAATGAAATAAAGGCAAAATATTTTGATACTTTCTTTTGTGGAACTTGCAAGCAAAATAAATTACAAATTTATATTACTATCTCTAATATTTCTTTACTTTAACTAATTACTTTGAAAAGATAAAGCACTGAACATGATGAATAACAAGAAACAAACATTATCAGCAAAGATTATAGATTTAAAATTGTGTTCATTCATATTGAAGATTAATGAAGTAGACTATCAATATTTACCCTCTTGATGGCTGATACTTTGATTTGATGTCTTTACTTTAAGCTTACACATCAGTCTCTGTGTGGTAAAATATGAAATAATATGCTTCAATAAAACTGTTTCAGTATATTAATTATATTAGATAAGTACATAGTTTTGAGCTCTATAACAATATGTGTTTCAATTATCATTCAAATATAATACCCTCTATGTTGTACAACTCACTGATTTATTAGAATTTTAAAAAAGACAATAATTAATAAAATATTTTGGATTAAAATCCATTATATTCATTATAACATACAATGCTATCTCTTGCTATAATAATTACTTTAAAAAATGGGTTATGCCTATAGTACAGTTACCTGAGGATGAAACTAGGCACAGTGTATAGTCCACGGAGACTGATTAATATCCCTTGTAATTGAACATCAGTTGTAGTTATGAAATCTGGATGGCCAAACACACACTCATAGTCCTGAAAAGCAATTTACACATAGATTAGCAAGAATATCTCACAAATTATTGAATTAAAGCTAACCCCTATTTAGTGCAATCCATCAAAGTAGTAGCATTTTTCGTTAAGTTGTAGACACAATACAAAGTAATGTTTGGTCTGTGATTTACATACTTTTATAAAATAGCAATCAAATTATATATATATATATATATATATATATATATATATATATATATATATATATATATATATATATATATATATATTCATTGTAAATTTTAGCTATGTCTTGCTATTAAATTTATTTACTCGACTGATCTAAACTCACTTTATTTAAACATAATATAGTGGATAAGTATAGTGATTTTATTATTCAGCAATAAATAGCAGGCCTAAACAAAATTAAATAGTAACGTTTGCGAATGAACACATTAAATTCTATGTATTTCCATTTCTATGTCTTTCCCAACTTGATGCTTATTACTAACCAAGCATTAAACTATAGTCCTAAACCTGACTCTAATTACCATTTATTGGACAACCTGAACCTTTGCGATACCATGTTATAATATATTATTTTAAAGAGCTTACCACTAATTACTAAAATCAATTGTTTTTAGTATTAACTGAGCCGCATACTATCTGCTGCTATTGTCATCACCAGAAATCCAGTATGCTGGCAAAGATTAGTCTCTAAGTTCCCTGCAACCTCTTTCCTCTCGAGTGCGGAAAACACTGAAATCATTAATCATTATTTCATTATGCCTAATAGTTTAAAGGTCGTATTAAAGTAGTACTAAATAGTACGAGTCTAAGTTACAATAGGTCTAATGATAATTATTATTGTGTATGCTTACATGCTTTAAGTTTTATGCACAATATTGGTATAATATATAGTCTATAGTATATAGCCTAAGCTATAGAGTATACAGGCCTATGAGCCTAAATATAACAGCAGCTTGAATAATGCTCATTAGCATGCATTCACTATAAACTATAAAGATAATCAAATATTTCAATTTAATTAAATTATAACTAATAGGCCTAATAGTAAATAGGCTTTTTTCTTGTGGCAACAAATTTAAAGTATAGGGCAGTACAGTTATAGTATAGGCCTACTAGATTCTATATTTAAGTATGTGGGCTTTTCATTCCAATGCACCACAATAGATACCACACATGATCAAGCTGGACCTCTGATCTAAAGATTTAATAATTGGGCCTAACAAACAGTGAAACTACAATAAAAATCATGTAAATTACTAATTTAACCTTCTTACCTCCGCTTCTCTAGATTCCTATTCTATTTCCTTCAAACTTTCTTTTTATGCAGCCGTATGATTAGATTCTAAACTATATTCTAATAAACATGAAATAACTACTAACCAGAACACTAGATCTAAATTTCTATATTCTAAGCAATATGTATTAAACCTATAGGCCTAATATTTATTTTAAATTCCTATGCGATGTGTCGTGAACTGTAGGTTTCATGTTATTTTTTTAATGGCGGACATCAGTTTAAAATTTCGTTTCCTTCCTTTTGTTATTCTATTTATAGATTCAAACTGCTTAGAGACGGAGCAATTATCATTGAGTTAGTCGTCTGATCCACACAGGAAGTGCGGGTATATCTATTTGTTACTCAGTGATCTGATCATTGACAAAAACAGAGATAGCCATTCGCATGGGGTGTATATATATATATATATATATATATATATATATATAGAGAGAGAGAGAGAGAGAGAGAGAGAGAGAGAGAGAGAGAGATGACGTGTTATACAATACTTCTTTCTTCAGATGTCGTGATTTTTTTTTTTTTTTAATTTTTTTTTTTTTTTTTTTTTTTTTGGGGTGAGGGGTGTTTAGATTACAAAACCGCAGAAGATGTTTTTTTTTTCTCAGACGTGTAATTTACAGCGTCAGTGTATCTTGCCATGTTCGCTTTAGTATTGAAGTTTTCATTACCGGTTCACGAGGAAGGATACAGATTTACAAGAGTAATACTTCTTTCTGACATGTACTTTCATTCATTTAAGATGGTTTATTTATACATAAAACAAAACGTCTAATTTTTTTTTTTTTTTTTAAACCTGAAAATTAAAATCTTAAATTAAATAATGACTCACTGTTGTGCAGAGAGTTGAGAGGGGTCTGGGCGAGTGTTAAAAAAAATAATGGACGATTTTTCGCTGGGATGGTTTGAGGGTTAAGGGGTTAATTTTATTGATTGGAATATTTAAAGTAATTGTTACACAGTTGACGCCGAACTTTTAAAAAAATAAGTCTTTATTTGTTTTAAATGTGTTTACCGCTGCATATGTATTAAATGAACTAAGTCAGCAAAATTTAGTTCAAAGTTCACTTTCTTTCACGGACACAAGCTCTTTTGTTGTTTTTAAAAAAAATGCTTTAAAAAACACACGCAAAAATGTATGAAATTAATAAATTTAATTAAGGGGAAATAAAAAACGAATTTCGGTTTTTTATCTCCACTTTGTTCTTTGTGTTTATTTCTAGCGGCCTGGTCACGTGATGAGAACCATAAATACGTCACATATTATCTTAATGTAGTTCCTCTCCAACTGTTTTTTAAGATTATTGTTTACATGAAATTTCACCCCTGAAAAAAAGATTGTAGATATGTCCTGACCTTAGGTTTAATGTTATGTGCCACATAACAAAGCGCCACAGTCCCGCAAAGCTCAACTTAAAACCATGATGCTATTTTAGCAACAGATTCTGTGCGTGTATTTTTTTACCAGAGATTATGTAAGAGCGTTGTCTAGATCTGGCTTTGATTAAGCTTGAGCTAAATTTACCAGTTAGGTTTTCTATCCGCTAGGTGGCGAGCATTACGTCACAGCGTCTAAAGTTTCATATGGTTGATTCCGCGTCCGAATTTTTAATTTTGTCCGAATTTTGTGTGGTGGTTACTACATGGAATGGGACGGCGTGGTTAAATGGTGAGCGTTCGACTGCTAACCTAATAGTCTCGAGTTCGAGTCACTGGCTAGAGTAGTAGAGCGTCCCTGAGTCCATCCAACTCTGACGGATACTTGATTTACGTTAAGGAAAGTAAAGGCGGTTGGGCATAGTGCTGACCACACTATCCCTTCATATGCCGAGGTCACAGAAACAGGTGAACTCTATTTCACCCGACTCGTTTGAAGGGGATTTTTTTAGTTTACTTACTTAAAGACGTGAAGCAGACGGATTGGTCTGTGGGTAGAACGTACGAAGGTTAACCCAGAAGACTGAAGTTCGCATCCAGGGATTATTTCGTGTGCGTCACTGAGTCCACCCAGTTCTAATTAGTACCCGGCTCACGTTAGGGAAAGTAAAGACGGCATAGTAGTTACCACACAATCCCTTCATATGATGACTTCACAGAAAGAGGTGAACTCTACTTCATCTGCCCACTGGATAGCCAACTCAAGAAGTATAGCTTTACTTTTTTTACTAGGACATCTAAACCGTTGGATTTGTAGTTAGTTAATGCTGTTAAAGAATCGTGGATAAAATAATCCTATTAGCTGCGTTTCACATGAACATTAAAGTAGGTCGTGTAGAGGTCAAGGGTGAAGGGCGTCTTCTTCAGGTGTACAGTATATTTTAACTGCTTTTCATTCAGTTCATTTGTTTATAAACAAGTTTACAATGTTATTGATGTTTAGCCAGGAAAAAAGGCGGTAGGGAAGAAATCAGCAAACATATTTTTTGTTCACTTCAGTTAATTTTATTTGAGTGCTTTATGGCGCAAGGTGAATGCTAACTTGAGGAGGCGAATAGCAAAACATGCTAAGTCCACTTTTTAAAATGAAAAATAAGTTCCTCTTATAGCCTTCTTAATTAAGTGGCAATTAAAGTAGTATACCAATTTTCGTTCTAAAAGATATTCATTAAAATTAAATATGTACTAGTAAAATCTAAAATCCTAAGAATAGTTAGTCAAAACAAATGTAATTGTCGATTTCCTCAAAATCAACCAGAAGTGACTTAGCAAGATTTGCAAGGGAACTCCTCAGTTTTCTCGAAAAAACGAGTGCTCGTTTTGGTTTGACTAAAGGGTTATTTATATTGTAAGTCTAATTAACCTGTCTTTTACTTAACCCGAGGTTACTGTTTATTTTTGTTACGGTCTATCTAAGCATGCACCTCGTGACCTGATTAGTGTACAGGTGGGATGTGGTACCTCAGGTGAGACCTGATACCTATGGTTCCAGAGCACTTCTCCCGCTTCAACAAAGAAAAACAACCCGTCCCATTCTATCAATCTGATAGGTACTTAAAAGTACCACAGGTGTAAAATAGTGAAAGTGCTCAACACTACCCTAGCACCGTTTTAGTGTTTTACAGTGCAATACTTTTTTTCCCGCTTTCTAATATGTGTTTGTCAGTTCTTTGAATGCATGCCTAAATCAATTTACATCGTCTGCGAAACTTTTTTGTCGTCTGCAAGTTTTTCTCACCTTTCAAGCAGCGTGTCTTTTTTATCTTATTTAGATACGTTCTCTTTTTATAGATTTTATTTTCGTTTATCGACACTTAGTTTGAAACTTGGCAGCTTCAAGCTTTGCTAATATTTCCAGTGTAAATTTTATCACACGGAGTGGTCCAGTAGTAGCAGAAAAGCCACGGATCCTGAAGGTTTCAGTTTGAACCCTGGGTCTGGAGCCAGAGATTCCGTGTACTAACCTGCCTGTTTTGTAACGAATAGCTTTGTTTATAAACACTTTAACGTCGTTATTGTTTAAATGTTTAAATTGGTTTCTCAACTTTTCTAACGATTCGTTTAAAAGTTGTTATCTTAACTTTTTTATGTTCTTTTAAACTAAGTATTTTTTGTGAGTGCTAGTTTGTTAACCCGAAAGTCTCCAGTTCGAATTAGGTTCAAGTCACTGGAGCGTCCGTGAGTCCACTCAGCTGTAATGGGTACCTAACTCACACTATCACATTATATGCCGAGGTCAAGAAACGAACGAGCTGTGCTTCATCTGCCGAATAGATCGCTAGGTCTAAAAAGGAAACTTTAATTATTTTTTGGTCAGTTTAAAAATAAAATGGGTGTTGGGTTGTAAAGATGAGTAGGTTAGATTTGTATTAGTTTCTGCTATTCATAATACTGGGACTAAACTATAATTTTAATTGAGGCTACCGAAAACTGTAACTCATCTATGCCTCAATAATGTGAATGCATGATGAATAAATTGCTGTCAACCCAATGATACTACATAAACTGTAAAACTGAGTAACTTTGCTTGACCTTTAATTTAATACAGACAGTCGGAACATTACTGACACAAATATATATAATGTGATTACAGCTCTTTTTTTTTAATATGGTTATTTTAACAAATCGTTTTCAGTATAGGTAAGTTGATATAAATAAGTCCAATTATACCAACTTTGAGGGAGGAAGCAGGCTAAGGATGCTAACAAAGTCAACTAACAAAGTACATAGAAAGCTTTTAACATTGGATAAAAGAAAGCATTTGTACTTGCGTTTTTTCTCAAAGAGCGACGGGTAAAAATAAGGGAAGTAATAAACGCTAACAAATTGGGAGTGTCGTACGGTTGGGGAGAGCTAGAGATGTTAGATGGTGTTGTGAAGGTGAATGGCAAGAAAAATGGGGGTGTAAGAATAGGATGAGATGAGGGAAGAATGTGCAGTAACTAGCTGCATTTGTTGGGAGACTTGTTTCCTGCCTTTGTCGGATGGGGGAGTAGGGGGGGCTTTCAAAGTCTAGTTATAAACTAGTCGGTTTAGAGTGAGTCGAGGTTTTATGCATGCATGTGTGGGTGTGGGGTAGGATGTGGGTGGAGTGTGGGGTAGGATGTGGATGGAGTGTGGGGTATGGTAGGGCGTGTAGTATGTTGTGGGGATGGATGTGGGGTAGAGTATGGGGTGCGGTGTGGGTTGGGGTGTGGAGTAGGGTGGAGTGGGTGTGGAGTAGGGTTTGATGGGGTGTGGAATAGGATGTGGTGAGGTGCGGGGTTTGGTAGGGTGGGGAGTAGGGTGTAAAGTAGGGTTGAAGAAGGATGTCGGATAAGGTGTGGGGTGGGGTGTGGAGTAGGATGTGGGATTAGGATGTTAGGATGTGGCAGTGATTATTTTTCTAAGTGACATGTTGTATGATGACAGACGCTATGAAATGACAGATGATATGACAGAGGCGTACTTGCTGTCGACTTCTTCTTCGATCTAAAGAAAAATAATTGCCCCTTTAACTGCTACTACCCCTTCTACTCATGCAAGAAACTGCTATTACCCCGGCTATTCATGCAAGAAACTGGTTCCATCCTGGCTAGTCATGCAAGAGTCTATGCTACCATCATGCAAGAGAACAACTCACTTGCCAAAAGACGTGGAAGACTTGGCATTTTCCCACACTTTGTACCAGCTAACTAAACAGATGAGCCGACAACAAAAACTACGACAAATCGCAAAAACACAGCAACCCATTCTAGCGTTACAAAACGTCCCAAGCGTCACTAC